AGATAGATAGATAGATAGATAGATAGATAGATAGATAGATAGATAGATACATACATACATACATACATAGGAGCTCACCTTTCTTCCTTTTCAAACTTTACATGTTCTGCCACTCTGCCCTACAGGTAATCATCAATTTCCCCGACCCTTCACAGAAGAGTGACATTGTACAGTTGCGTGGGCCCAAAAACGAGGTGGAGAAATGTGCGAAATACCTACAAAAAGTCATTGCAGAATTGGTGAGTCTAGTTGGCCGAGCTTCCAGAAAACCATTTTAGAGTCCTTTATGCCATTGGGGTTATTAAAAAGAAAGGCTTTCTCTCCTTTTCAGTCATTGGGGCATAGAGAGGAGATACCATCTGATCTTTTCTGGATAGTTGGGGCTCTGTGTGGTGAACTACCACAGCACATATTCCTTGCAATGGTTATAATAGTAGTGAGGAATGGCAATATGTATCAGGTGTGAAATAGCAAGTCCACACTTGAAGGTCCATTTAAACTGATTTATTGCCAAAACCCCATGCATAGGAATTTTCTCAACTAATGAACAACATCAGCTTGGAGTTAGATATGGATCAACAGAATTGGACTTAGTCCACTTGTGGCTATATAGGGATTTCTAGGCTGATTCCTCTTTTGACTCTGCCTCCAGATTCTGCCACTCCTTCTCCTCAAATATGTAGTGCTGAAGCTCTCTTCCTGTGATGTTAGGTGGCTAGCATACCTCTATACCAGGGATGTCAAATTTGCGTTGTCATATTGTCATCACGTGACATATCGCAACATTTTTCCTGTTTGGTAAAATGGGAATGGGAGTGGCCAGCACATGACGGATCCGCCCATGGGCTACGAGTTTGACACCAGTGCTTTATTCCTACAGCAGAGGTGTCAAATTCGATTTCATTAAGGGTTCATCAGGGTTGTGTTTGACCTTGGAGGCCAGGGTGAGTGTGGCTGGGATGGGTGTGGCCAGCATGATGTCACTTGTGTCAGGAGGCACCTGTGGTGGCCTGAGCGCTCTGCCAGCGAAAACGGGCTCCCAAGCTTTGTTTTTGGCTGCAATGGCCTCCTGCAACCCTCCGCCAGCAAAAAGGGAGCTTGAGGGCGCTCTATTTTTACTGGCAGAGGCCAGTCCTTTGCTGTTTCCATGGCGGCCCTGCAGGCTGGATCCAGGCCCCGGGCCTTGAGTTTGACACCCCTGCCATGGAGTCTGGGCAAGTTTGAGGCTGGGCTACAAGGCCAGATACCTTAACAGAGGTGCAAACAGAATCTGCAAAGACGAAGTCATGTTAGCAAAGGCTCAGAATGAACAAAGACTTGCAACAAAAGTCAAAGATAATAAAAAAAGTTTCTTCCAACATATAAATAACAAGGAAAAAATCAAGGAAACAGTCAGTCCACTAAAGAGAGAAGATGGCAAGGAAGTAACAGGCAACAGAGAGAAAGCAGAAATGCTTAACTCATTCTTTGCATCTGTCTTCACGCAAAAAAAACTATAGCTCAACCCACCAAAAACTTAACTGTAAACGACAGACCAGAAATAAAAGTTAAACTAAGCAAAAAAAATAGTAAGAGAACACCTGTCTGATCTTGATGAAAATAAATCACTGGGGCCTGATGGATTACATCCCAGAGTTTTAAAGGAGCTGGCAGAGGTCATCTCAGAACCTTTGCACCATATCTTTCAAAAATCTTGGAGCACCGGGGAACTACCAGAGGACTGGAAAAGAGCTGATGTGGTTCCCATCTTCAAAAAAGGGGAAAAAAACAGACCCAGGAAACTATAGACCAATCAGCCTAACATCAATACCTAATAGATACTGGAGAAGATACTGGAAAAGATAATAAAAAAACAGATCTGCCAACATCTAGAAACAAGTAAAGTAATAACTAGCAGTCAGCATGTGTTTGTTAAGAACAGATCATGCCAAACCAATCTTATTTCATTCTTCAACACAGTGACTAAATTAGTAGACCAGCCAAATACTGTGGACATAATATATTTAGATTTCAGCAAAGCATTCGACAAAGTAGACCACAACTTACTTCTTAGTAAGCTAGAAAAAAGTGGAATAGATAGCACCACCACTAAATAGACTCTCAACTGGCTGACAAACCATTCTCAACAAGTCGTCCTTAATGGGTCTAAGTCCACATGGAGGGAAGTAAGTAGTGGGGTGCCACAAGGTTCCATCTTAGGCCCAGTACTCTTCAATATCTTCATTAACAACTTAGATGAGGGAATTGAAGGGGAACTTACCAAATTTGCAGATGATACTAAGCTGGTAGGAATAGCTAACACCCAAGAAGATAGGCTCAAGATTCAGATGGATCTTGACAGACTAGAACACTGGGCCATATCTAACAAAATGAAATTCAATGTAGAGAAAAGTAAAGTCCTACACTTAGGCAAGAAAAACCAAAAGTACACATATAGACTGGGTGAAACCAGGCTCAATAGCAGTAACTGGGAGAGGGATCTTGGAGTCTTAGTGGACAACCAGCTAAATATGAGCCAGCAGTGTGCAGCAGCAGCCTCCAAAAAAGCTAATGCAATCCTAAGTTGTATTAACAAAGGGATACAATCAAGATCAAGGGAAGTACTAAGAAGAAGAAGGTGAGTAGAGCAGGAAGTGAAATCTCTCTGGCTTATTAACACCTTTCCTTTTCTGTGCCTTAGATTGAAAACAGTTTTTCCATCCCGGTTCCCATTTTCAAGCAATTCCACAAGAACATCATTGGGAAAGGAGGCACCAATATCAAAAAGGTAAAAGGAGGAGGGTCTCCCCACCTTTCTTCTTTGTGCATGTATGGGCACATGTTGGTACATGTCTCTTTTTATGGAAAGGGTCAGTGGGTCAAGGATTTAAGCCTAGGCGTATAAATCTAGAAGGTTATGCTGCAGTTTTATATACATTAGAGTACTCACAAGTCACACTGGATTCCAAAACTGTTGTGATTGACAGACCCTTGGAGTTGGAGATTCTGAGATTCTCCCCCTACTTGGGGCTCTAAATAGAGGAAGTCAATGCCCATTGAGCATGTGTGGTCCACGTAGGTTCCTGACACAGTCCTGTCACCTTGGAGGAACCCCTTCCACCCATCATCTCTGAGGGCAGTTCCTTGTAGAGCTCATGAAGGTAATCTAGACTCGAAGCTCTGGGGTTTGATGTTGTCTCTTCACAATAGATTCGAGAGGAAACCAATACCAAGATTGACCTCCCTACAGAAAACAGCAATTCTGAAGTGATCCTGATCACTGGGAAGAAGGCCAATTGTGAGGATGCTCGGGATCGTATCTTGGCCATCCAGAGAGAGCTGGTGGGTGTGTGAATCATTTTCCTCCTCCTTCTTCTCTTCCTCCTCCTCTTTAGCACTCTGAATGTGCTGCTATCATATCGTCAGGGTTGGTGTAGAGAGCTTAATTCAATCTGTTACCCCAACAGTTTCATTTAAGGTTTTCAGCAAATTGCGTGATCACCGAACCAGTTGTTAAACTTGGAGAATCTCTGTTTTTAATCCTGTTAGTACCACATCAACTTATGCTTGCACCTTATAGAATAAAGTAGAGTAGAAGAATAGAATAGTATTAGGATAGGATAAGATAGGATAGGACAGGACAGAACAGAACAGAATAGAATACTTTATTGGCCAAGTTTAATTAGAGATATAAGGAATTTGTTTCCAGTGTGTATGCTCTCAATGTACATACAACAATTGTGATATAATTAACATATTGTAAAATACATTCATCATAAAACATTGGGTATAACATTTAGTGATAATCATGGATACCAAATAAGCAATCAACATAAATCACACAAAGTGAACGATATGAATTGTAAGATACAAGCAACAAAGTTATAGTCATAAGAAGATAAGGAGATGGGTAATAGGGAAGATAAATAAAAGTATTTGAATCCTTCCACCTTTTTTTCTGTTTGGGAATTTTTAAATCCAAACGTTTTATTTATTTTTTTTACTTACATTTGCTGCTGAGCCTCTCACCAAAAGGTATCTGTCTCCTGTTGAAATAAGGAACAGAAATCTGTGGGGTCTTTGATGCTGTCTGAGCTTGGTGGTTTTCTTGCAGGAGTTTCATTATCAAACTAGGAAATGTCACAACACTGATGATGTTACCTACCTTGGTAATGAAACGTCTCAGAAAACCTCCCAAGCTGAGAGAAACACCAAGGATCTCACAGCTTAACGCTGAGCTACCAATATTCTCTCCTGTCAGAAAAGAAATCAGACATGATGAATTGTGCAGAGGCAAGATTGTTTATTTGTTTTGAACTTGGATGTTGTAACTTTTTCTCTTCTCGCCTCAGGCTAACATCAGGGAAATGGATATCTCCATCCCAGCCAAACTGCACAATTCGCTGATAGGAGCCAAGGGGCGGCTGGTGCGTTCAATCATGGAGGAATGCGGCGGGGTGCACATTCATTTCCCTTCTGAAGGCTCGGGCAGCGAGAAAGTCACCATCCGAGGCCCCGGGGAAGAGGTGGAAAGAGCGAAGCGCCAGTTGCTGCATCTCGCTGAGGAAAAAGTAGGTGGTTGGTAGAGGTCCATCCCCAGTTTGGTGGTTTGCAGAGCAGATTAACAGATAAACAGAGTTGGAAGGGTCCTTGTAGGTCATCTAGTCCAACTCTCTGCCCAAGCAAGAGACCATACACCATTTCTGACAAATCCAATCCCTTCTTGAAAGCCTCCAATGATGAAGCTCCCACAACTTCCAAAGGCAAACGGTTCCATTGGTTGGTTGATCTCAGTTTCTCAAAGAAAGAACAGCTCTAAAGAGCCTGAACAGTAAGGATCTGGACTCGCCTTGAATTAACCATTAACCAATTACTGTTAATTAGGTATAATCAGAAAATAATCAGGTATTTAGGGTATCAAGGAAAGGAGAGACACCATAAAGCTGGGTTGGGGAACTATGGCAATTTTACAACCTGTGGACTTCAACTCCCAGAATTCCTGACCCAGCAGAGCTGCCTCAGGAATTCTAGTTGAAGTCCACAAATTGTAAAGTTACTATAGTTGCCCATCCCTACCATAGAATTTTTCTCCTTAGCTCTCATGCCCTTAACTCTTTTATTGCCATACTCAACTTCAGGTTTTAATTAATATTTGCAGGACTCTGTCCTTTCTGGTAGTCGACATTAAATCTACATTTTTTTCTGAATCGTTCTAACCAAAGATATGAAGATTTAGCTCTTCTTTCTATGTAGACCTCTTTTTTTTTCTACTTAAACATTGTCTTGTGTTTTTCCTTGCAAAAAAGAACCTGGAATTGGAGCAGAGATCACCTACATGTATAAAATTTTAATTCTATTCAAGGCTAGGAATAGGTAGCTAAGTGATATTTTGGAATACAGACTCCATTTTCCATATGTGCAATACATGGAGAAACAAATATTGGCAGTAAGAACTGAACTTTATCTTGAGTACATACAGTCCTCGACTTACGATGACAAGTGGAACCAGAATTTCCATTGCTAAGCAAGGCAGTTGTTAAGTGAGTTGCACCCGATTTTACAACTTCTTTTGCCATGGCTGTTAAGCAGATCACTTCAGACCATGAATCACATGGTAGTTCACCGAATCCAGCTTCTCCCGCTGACTTCGCCTGTTAGAAGTCAACTGGCAAATGGCAACCACCTGACCCTGTGACATCGCAATTGTCATAAATATATAGGAGATGACTAGGCTGAGCCTGAGGGAAGGATCAAATGCATCTATAAATCACGAGTCCCTGCACTCCTGCAAGGGATTTATGTCCAGCCTATCTTGAATGCCTTTCTTATCTCCTGCTAATTTGCCTTGGCGGTTAGTAGCTCAGATTCTTATAGAGCACTTAAGCTTGTGGTAAATCTTTACACTCACTTGAACTGCCTGAATCTCCTGGTTTGCCTGGAACTTGGCAAAATACATGCTAAGCACCCAAATTTTGATTGTGCGACCATGGGAATAGTGCCATGGTGTAAGAGTGAAGATTAGATACAGTGGAACCTCTGATCGGGAACGCTTTCATTCGTGACCAAATTGGGTAACAAACAAAAGTTCTTACCTCTGGTTGTGAACAGGTACTCGGGTGGTGACCAAAGGGCGGTGATTTGCCCATCCATGTCGATTTCCCTTTCTGCACCATGCCATTTTTGTTTTTACATGCATGAGTTTCCTGGGACAAGTGAATCGGGTGACGATCGAATTCTCAGAATGGATTACGGTCATCACCTGAGGTACCACTGTATAACTCACTTTTTTCAGTGCGGTTATAACTTCAGGTGGTGGAAGGCAAGAATCACCCGTCCTACTTGAGCCTTTTGGAGAATCGATGCATGCCCGTTTTCTTCCTGCAGCAAATCAGCAATCACTCAGTGGAACTGCACGCTAAGCCAGATTACCACAAGTTCCTGATTGGGCGTGGAGGTGCTAATATCCGCAAAGTGAGGGACCGTACCGGTGCCCGGATCATGTTCCCCACTCCTGAAGATAAGGACCAGGATATTATCACTATCATGGGGAAGGAGGATGCAGTACGGCAGGCCCAGCAAGAACTGGAGAGTCTCATCCATAACTTGGTACGGGTCGTACAGCTTTGGCAGGGGTCTCCATGGTTGGCAACTTTAAGACTTGTGGACTTCAGCTCCCAGAATTCCTCTGAAGAATTCAGGGAATGGGAACACTTGGCACACCCAATTTGCTGCGACCAACTCGCTGCAGCCAACTTACCATGGCCAATTTGCCACAACCAACTTGCAATGGGAGAACTCGCCACAGCCAACTCTCTGCAAGACAACTCTTTGTGGGACAATTTAACAGTTCTATTTAATTATTTAAAACTAACCCGGCGTTGCCATTATTTACCCTAATCCTATATTAGGAAAAGCCCTGATTTCGCAACCTGGAATAAACATAATTTCTAATGTTGGATTTTCCCCGTTGCCAGAGAGAGCCCCCTTGTGGAGTACTGTGAAGTTGTTACCATAGCAACTCCAGAGCGCTATACAATAGAAGCCATTTTAAGGCAGTATGGTAGAATCCTTTTGAAGGCACAACAGGCTGTATCTTAACAGAACACACAAGTTAGGGGTGTCTTAGCATCACAGTATTTGTTTCCAGACAGTAAGTAATCTGTTACCAAGTTTGGTTGAAATTGCTTGAGGCGTTCCAGAGTTTTGCTGGAATACACACACACACACACACACACACACACACACACACACACGCATGCACGTGCGCGCGCACACACACACACACACACAGCCATTTTTATATATTATAAATAAAAAAAAAATATTTTAATTTTTGCCATTCACATGTCATTCTGTCCTTCCTTTTGCATCCTTTAATGACTCTATTCCAACATATCTTTGATATCAATGTAACTCTTGTCCTGCAGTGAGTTGTCCTGCAATGAGATGGCTGTGGTGAGTTGACCTTGGTGAGTTGGCTATGGGAAGTTGGTCATGGCAAGCTGGCTGCATTGAATTGTCATAGATCTGATGGTGTTATGAGCTCATCACACCATTGCTATGACTTCTTTTATGTAGGTTGAATCTTCTCTTAACATGTTTCTCTTCTAGAGGGTGGGTTGGTAGAGATGGAGGACCTCCAAAAAAGCTCTGTAGTTTGATTGTCTCTATTTTGGAGGGGGAAAGATAACTGTAAGTATTTTGAATTAGGAAGATTTTATATTTTTTGCAATTCCTGCTTGAAAGAAACCGCTAGGAATTGTTGGGTCAGGGCTCCTCCTAGGAATTCTGGGAGTTGAAGTCCACAAGTCTTAAAAGTTGCCAAGTTTGGAGACCGCTGAGGGATGGATGGAGTTGGGGTGAGATGCTGGATCAAGAGTAGGAGTTCTGCATTCTTTCCACACAACCTTACCCTACAGTTGTGGCTGCAGGAGTTGCAGTCACTATTTTCATAGGGGTTGAAACCTCCCCTTATTCCTCATTATTCCTCATAACAATATTGCCGCTAATGGTTTTACCGGGCCAAATACACTCTTCCCAGATGCGATCGAATTGTGAAAGGTGGAAGAGAAACAACTTTTCTAAGAAGCACGAAAGCTTAGTGACTCCTTCTGTTCCCCACCCGCTACTCTAGGATAATGTCATTGAAGACTCGATGGTGGTGGATCCCAAGTACCATCGCCATTTTGTGGCCCGTCGGGGACATGTGCTGCGGGAGATTGCAGAAGAGTACGGTGGGGTCACTGTGAGTTTCCCCCGGACAGGTGTCCAGAGTGATCACGTGACGCTCAAGGGAGCCAAGGATTGCGTGGAGGCCGCCAAGAAGCGCATCTTGGAGATCATCGGTGACCTGGTAGGTCATGTTCTCATGTCTGGATTGCAGTGGGCATTAAAAGTGACTCTCAGGTGGACCAGAGTGTGAGTCATCTTACAAAAAGCACCTTTCCCATCCTTATACCATGAATCTGCTGACAGAGAATGTCTCTCAGTCTTTCCCATTTAATGAACAAATCCCTAGAGCTCACAGCATCTTAAGATAGAAATGATAACCTTTATTTTTTTTACCATGAGCACACGGGCACACATTAAAAATAAAATTCTGTTGCCCACTCTCAAAAGAATGTGTGTGTATGTGTATACACACTGTACAATAGGCAGATAGACATACAGATAGATACAGAGATATAGATATACAGTGTGTGTGTGTGTGTGTTTATAATACTGTACATATACATATATACTGTATACAGGGATGGAAATATACTGTACAATATACACACATACTGTATACACACACATGCATAAATACTGTATTGACACACCCACCCACCCACCCACCCACATACATACATAATCACTATCCATTTTCGATACATAGCGGAAAGAGGAAAGTTGAGAGTTCACAAGGTTGATACTAGAGGGAACAAAGCTGTTACTGAATCTGGATGTTCTGCTTCGGATACCACGAAGCATCCTCCCAGAAGGTAACAAGGAAAACGGATTGTGAAGAGAACATGTAGCATCCCAGACAAGGACGCTGAGCAAGCAGTGCTGTTGTAATTTGGAACAATCCTTGAGGCCTATCTGTATGTAACGTTCTCCGCCTTTAGTTTCTTACAAAGTAATAAAGATGAGATAAAAATCTAATAAATAAATAAATCAGCGCATGGGCTTTGATTTCTCACCTTTCCCAGGAGGCCCAGGTGGTCCTGGAATGCATCATCCCTCAGTGCTACCATCGGGTCGTCATGGGGGCGAAAGGTTACAAGGTACAACAAATCACTCGGGATCACAATGTCTTCATCAAGTTTCCGGAACGAGATGACAATTCAGGTGGGTGGAATGATGTGGGCAACATAATTTTCAACCTCTCCCTCCTCCCCCCAGGTTTTCAGGAAGAAACTTTTTTTTTTAGATTCTTTTTTATTCTAATTTATTTTTTTCTTCTCGCAAGCAGGTTCAGAAGCACAGTCTCAGGAAAACGGTGACATGATCCCCGAACTGGACACAAGTCCTCGCAAATGTGACATCATCCTCATTTCCGGACGCAAGGAGAAGTGCGAGGCTGCCCGGGCTGCTCTGCTGGTTAGGATCTTGCCTTCCTACTTGGTTAGGGAAAAGGGTCTTCTGTTTAGCCCTATTGACCTGTACAGGGGACCTCATTGGTTTCCCAACCTGTTTTTAACCCAAGAAAGAATCTGGCTAGTATTTAGCAGGGCGTTACATTGGCCTTATGTTCTGTGCTCTGCTGGGTAACCTAAACCAAATTGGACTTACAGCCAGTTACCTGCTAGAGCAGGGGTGTCAAACTCATGACATCACGGTGGTGTCCCATGACGTATTGGGACTTTTTTCCACTGAACCGGGTGGAAGTGGGGCCAGCACATGACGCAGCCAGCCCATGGGCCGCAAGTTTGACATCCATGTGCTAGAGCTACCAAACAAGAGAAATATTTCACTATTAAGTAAAAAGTATACAGGTTGTCCTCAATTTACAACTATTTGTTTAGTGACCGTTTGAAGTTACAGTGGGACTGGAAAAAGTGACTTATAGCAATAGCACTTAGACTTATATATCGCTTCACAGTGCTTTACTAGTGCCCTCTCTAAGCGGTTTACAGAGTCAGCCTATTGCCCCCAACAGTCTGGGTCCTCATTTCACTGACCTTGGAAGGATGGGAGACTGAGCAATGGTTAAACTACAGTTGGTATATATGTGGAGATACCCAAAAAAGCCAATTAATAAACGTGGACATTAGTTTAACAGCAAGAATTAGTTTAACAAACGCAGAATTTCATTTATTGGGAATTATTTTTATGCCATATTTAACTGCATACCAAGTAGTATTTAAAAAAAATTAAGAATAACAAATACAAAAATTATGTGCTATAAGAAACGAAAAACTAAAAGGAAAAACATATATAAGAGGCCCCTAAAATGAAACAATTAAAACATTTCTTATTATAGTCATTCTTAATCTGTTTCAAAGTTTCTTCCTGAGGTGTTTGGGATTCTGAGAAGCTATTTAGGAATTCCAATTTGAGAATTAGCTTCCAGTTCATAAGTTATAATGTAGAAAGAACTTTGAGCCTTGTGAGAATTGAACTGCTGAACTGCAGTCAGTCAGCAGAAGTAGCTTGCAGTACTGCATTCTAACCATGCGCCACTATGGCTCATAGTAACACGGTTGTTAAGTGAATCTGGCTTCTCCATTGATTTTGCTTATCAGAAGGTCGTAATAGGTGATAACCTGATCCTGGGAGACAGCAACTGTCATAAATATTTATGATGGTTACATGAATCAATCAGTCAGAATAGAGCTGGAAGGGACCCTGGAGGTCTTCTAGTCTAGCTGCTCAAGCAGGAGACCCTATACCATTTCAGACAGGTGACTGTCCAGTCTCTTCTTAAAAATCCTCAGTGATATCCTGGGGCCATGTGATCTTCTTTTGCAACCTTCTGACCAGCAAAATCAATCAGGAAGCCAGATTCACTTAAAAGCCATGTCTATGGAGATGCTGAAGTCATCCAATGTGGTTGTCCCAAAGGTGTTTTTTTTAGAGAGGCACCTGGACTTTCTGTTTTTTTCTTTGAAGACATTTCACTTCTCATCCAAGAAGTTTCTTTAGTTCTGACTTGATAGTGGGGGAATGGAAGGATTTATACTCCTGACAGACCACTAGTCATTTGTATCCTTTTAAAGAGCTACTGAGGCCTCCTGGAGGTTTACCTGTGTCCTCAGGGTCACCTGAGTGGTGCAAAATCCTCCCTCTCTGTGTCCAATTTTGACACAGATGGCCTCTTTCAAACCTCTCTGGTCCTCTCTGCCAAAAAAAAAGCGCCCAGATTTCTCTTGGAAAAAAAGCATCTTTGGGGGACTTAAGAGCCAACCTAACAACTATGGTAAATCTCTTTAACAACTATGGCAAGAAAGATCATTGAGTGGAGCCAAACTCACTTAATAATGGTTTTGCTCAGCAACGGAAATTTTGAGCTCGGTCATGGTCATAAATCAAAGACTCCCTGTACTACCAAGACGTCAGATGTACACGTTCTGCTATGCTCCTCTCTCCCCAGGCTCTGGTACCCATCACCATGGACGTTGACGTTCCCTTTGATCTGCATCGCTACATCATTCGGCAAAAGGGAGCGGGCATTCGGAAGATGATGGAGGAATACGAGGTAGGGGGAGACGATCCAGCTTGCAAACCTCCAGTCGGTGTTAAGTTCTAACTTGGTACGTTCTTGACTCTACTCATTTCTGTTTGGAGAAGCAGAAATTTGGAGGGGGGTGGAAATTCTAAAATTCTGAATTTTAAAAGTAGGACTTCCAACAATCTTGATTAACACTCCCCACTTCGTTGTGCAGCAGATATAACTCTAAAACGCAACAGCACCTCCCATGAAATGGATCTCACCAGCCCTCTGTTCATTTTTTTAAAAACATGATGGTTTTCCTTTCTGTAGGTGACCATCTCAGTGCCGCAGCCTGAGCAGCAGTCCGATATCATCAAGGTCACCGGGCTAGTGCCCAACGTGGAGCGAGCCAAGGCCGGCCTCCTGGACAGGGTCAGAGAGTTGCAGGCTGAACAAGAAGACCGGGTACTTCCCCTTTAAAAAAAAAAGTTTTAAGGAACAAAAAAAAAACCCAAACACAATACCAAGTGGAGGGAGGGAGGAAAGGAAGGAAGGGGGAAGAGGGGGGAAGGAAGAGAAGGAGGGGGGAGAAAGGAAGGAAGAAAAAATGATGGAGGAAGGAAGGTGGTAGAGGAAGGGAGGGAGGGAAGAAAGAGGGAGGAAGGGAAAGGAAAAATGAGGGAGGGAAGAAGGATGGCATGAGGAGGAATAGAAGAAGGGAGGAGGGAAGGAAGTAAGAAATGAGGGAGAAAAGGCAGGAGGGAGGAAGGAAGACGAGGGAAGGGAGGAGGGAAGGAAGACGTGAGGAAGGGTAGAAGAAAGAAGGAAAGAAAGCACAACCTGAAAGAGTAAACACAGGAAGAAGCTGCTTCTGATTTCCTCCGTACCGAACATGAAATATATTTACAAAAATATCTCTACGGTTACCAAAAAAGATCAGGTACGTCAAGTCAGAACTTGCCCTGTGTGTCTCCCCTCGAAAAAATGTCAGGGCGTCTCCAGCTGCTCCCCCTCCCCTAAACCTGCCAATGTCCTCTTCTCCCTAGGCCCTGCGAGGGTTCAAACTGACAGTGAGCGTGGAGTCCAAGTACCATCCCAAGATCATCGGCAAAAAAGGGGCAGTCATTTCCCAGATCCGTAAGGACCACGATGTCACTGTCCAGTTCCCCGACAAAGGGGACGAGCATCAGGTAGGGGTCTCTCCCTCTTTGAGTGTGTGACCCCAAAGACAGGGGTGGTGGTGGTGGTGGCGGCTGAGAAATACTTAGCTGGTGGGCCAATGGGGAGGCAGACCACGTTTCCCACCGAAAGCCCCCTTGCCAGACAGCTAACCCCAAATGGGGCTGCTCAGTTTCCTAACCAGATCAATATAAAATACGTAACGGTAAAACGCGGGCAGCCACCGAGGGTTGAGGTCAAGTATCTAAACTATTTCTCTTTTCTGCTGTCCTTTCATGCCCGCCCTGCCTCCTTTAAGGAACTCATCACAATCACCGGCTATGAGAAAAACACTGAGGCTGCCCGAGATGCCATCTTGAAAATTGTAGCCGATCTTGAGGAGATGGTCAGCGAAGATGTCCGCCTGGATCACAGAGTCCACGCCCGCATCATCGGTGGGAGAGGCAAAGCCATCCGCAAACTCATGGAAGAATTCCGGGTAGGGGGTCAGGCTCAGAGCTAGGTGGGAGACACGGCAGGGACTTTCCCCTCCCAGGGAATTCTGGGAAAGAAGCCCCAAAGCCATTAGTGCCCCATCTACTACAGGTAGTCCTCATCTTAACAACAGTTCATTTAGTAACCATTCAAAGGAATGGTGCAGTGGCCTAGAGATGGGGCTCTTGCCTCACAATCAGGAGGATGTGAGTTTGATCTTAGGCGGAGGCAGATATTTCTCTCTCTGGGAACAATGAGAATATATCTGCTGAACAGATTCCGCATTGGCAACAGGAAGGGCATCCGGACATTAAACACCCTGCTAGCTCCCTTCAGTTGCCCAGACTCCACCCCACAAGGGATGATGGGGTCGTTAAAAGACAATGCTGATTTAGTGATCATTCACAGTTACAATGGCTCTGGGAAAAAAATGATTTATGACCATTTTTCACACTTAACAACCATTGCAGCATCCTCATGGTCGTGCGATTGAAATTCAGATGTTTGGCAACTGATTCAGACTTATGATGGTCGCAGTGCCCCTTTTTGCCACCTTCTGACAAGCAAAGTCAGTGGGGGAGGCCAGATTCACCTCGTGACCCATGTTTCTAACTTTCTAACAGCTGCAGTGATTCACTTAACAACGATGGCAGGAAAGGTTGGGAAATGGGGTGCAAATCACTTAAGTGTTTCACTAGCAATAGAAATTTGGTGCCCAATTGTGGCACTACCTGTACCACAAGGATGTCTGAGTGAAATGGTAGCCAGTTTGTTTTTTCTCTTTATCGGTGGAAGGAAAAATCATTTCGCTTTCCTTAGAAAGTAACGTTTTCTTCGAGTTGAGCTTGACTTTGTGTGTTTGTTTTGGGGCCACAGGACAAATATGGTTCGCTCTCATTTTATGTTCCTGTTCGGTCTAAAGCTCTGGGATTTTCCTGGTCAGCTTTTGGATATCTGCCGAGATCAGGTAGGGATCTTACCTTATTTCAAAACAGCTTTTTCTTCTCGGCAGGTGGATATCCGCTTCCCGCAGCCAGGTGCCAGCGACCCAGATAGAGTCACCGTGACAGGGCTGCCTGAAAACGTAGATGATGCCATCGACCACATGCTTAACCTGGAAGAGGAATATGTGAGAGGGAATTTGGGGGGTTTTAGGATGTGGGTGTGTGAGGGGGAAGCATTGGTGGTATTTAATATTTTTTTACTTCCGGTTCTGTGGACGTGACATGGTGGGTGGGTGTGGCAGGGGAAAGATACTGCAAAATCCCCATTCCCTCCCCACCCCACTAACCTGCTTTCCAGCTCCGTTCTCCTGTGCAGGGCAACAAAAGAAGACTCAGCCAATCAGCTGGGACTCAGGAGGCAGAGAATAGATGGGGGCGGGGCCAGTCAGAGGTGGGATTTGCCAATTCTCTGACATACTCAAAATTTCCGCTACCGGTTCTCCAGAACCAGTCAGAACCGGCTGAATGCCACCTCTGGGAAAAAGCTAATTGAAAGAACAGAGGGAGAACAAAGGGCAGAGCAGAGCATCATTTTGCTCTGCTGCTTCAGAATTTCCCCCGCAGCTATTCATTCACTAGGGTAGAGTCTCCAACCAAGGCAACTTTAAGACTCGTGTCTTCAACTCCCAGAATTCCTCAGCCACCTCTGGCTGAGGAATTCTGGGAGTTGAAGTCCACAAGTCTTAAAAGTTGCCAAGGTTGGAAACCCCTGCGCTAGGGAGATTTTTAAGACCATGTTTCCAAGGAAAAACCTTTCCTGAGGTCTCTGCTTTTGTGTCAGGCTCACTGTGTACGCCAAACCAAGAAATCAATTCCACAAGAAAGTTACAATTACATTGATGATTATGGGTCAGCTTCTTTACTTTCTCTTTTACCACTTCCTTACAAAATCTTTAAAAAGTAAGGTTCTACATTTAGGCAAGAAAAATCAAATGCACAGGTACAGTTGTGTGAGGGATCTTGGGAGTCCTAGTGGACAAACATTTAAATATGAGCCAGCCGTGTGCTGTGGCTGCCAAAAAAGCCAACACAGTTCTAGGCTGCATAAACAGAGGGAGAGAATCAAGATCGTGTGAAATGTTAATATCACTTTATAATGCCTTGGTAAGGCTACACTTGGAATACCGCATCCAGTTTTGGTCACCACGATGTAAACAAGATGTTGAGACTCTAGAAAGAGTGCAGACAAGAGCAACAAAGGTGATTAGGGGACTGGAGGCTAAAACATATAAAAATGATTGCTGGAATTGGGTATGTCTAGTCTAATGAAAAGAAGGACTAGGGGTGACATGATAGCAGTCTTCCAATATCTCAGGGTCTGCCACAAAGAAGAGGGAGTCAAGCTATTCTCCAAAGCATCTGAGGGCAGGACAAGAAACAATGGGTGGAAACTAATCAAGGAGAGAAACTACCTTAGAACTAAGGAAAAATTTCCTAACAGTTAGAACAATTAATCAGTGGAACAACTTGCCTCCAGAAGTTGTAAATGTTCCAATACTGGAAGTTTTAAAGAAGACATTGGACAATCATTTGTCTGAAATGGTATAGGGTTTCTTGCCTGAGCAGGGGGTTGGACTAGAAGACCTCCAAGGCCCCTTCCAACTCTGTTATTCTATTCTCTACTTTGGGTTATTTTACTTTAGGTGTCCAAGGAGATTTTGGTTCTTGCACTTCTCGCAGCCTCAACTGCCATTTACAGCTGCTGTAATTTGGCTTTGAGGTTGCCTTCCCATCTTCTTCTGGGTCTGTCTCATGTTCCTTGACCACCTCCTCTTTTTATGGATGCCTTAAATTGTAACCCAAACTTGGAAACTTTATGAATTGTGGACTCTAACTCCCAGAATTCTATGCTGGCTGAAGAATTTGGGGAGTTGAAGTCCACAGGTTGTAAGTGATCAAGGCTGGGGATCCCTCCTGTTAATATTACCATATAACCCATCTATAGTTGCAGGTAGAATCATTAACTGTGTTTCTACAACAACCCCTGAGCAGGTACATTTGATCAAAAGAGTAAGCTTGGCTAATCTTAATCTTGGCTGGGTTTTAGGAACAGTTTGGCTTGCTGCACAGATCCAACCTGTTTCATGAGTTTAATGCTCAGTACATGGTGAGAACTTTGGCAGTGGGTGGCTTCAATAATCCAATTAATTGTGGAGCAGTAATTACATATTCTGGGCATACATCCCCAGAATGCGGTGCCCAAAGGAAATGAGATACTTTAGAACATGAAACTTGTTATTTGCACCTTGGGATATCATCAAATACCTTTTTCAAGCAGCAGCAGGAAAGATATCGTGCCAATTGCCTGCAGGGCAAGGTGATGAAATGACCATGTCATAACTGAAAAGAATCAATCTGAAGTTTTGTTGTTTACAAAGTGCTCAGACTCACAATCTCTGGTGTGACAATTGTGACGTATGCCCAACTCTAATGGTGGACTCATTTATACTTATACCTGTTTATTCTTATATGTTCATATTTATACTTGTTTCCCCATACATGCTTGACAAACTAAACAAATAAACTAAATAAATAAAAATAAATAAATAGCTAGATAGGTGGGTGAGTTGGCAGAC